GTCGTCTGCTCAGCCTCAGCGGGTGGCACACTCCCCCCACCGCCTTCTCTCAGCGAAGCACCCCGCCCCCGCTGCAATACACACGAGGAAGCCGCCACTCCACACACTACACCAACCACAACAATAATACAACTCGCCTCTCCCCCACTCCCAGCCATGCCGCCGCCCTTCCTTCCCCACCAAGAAAGAAACGCACTAAAAGAATGTCTTGAAACGACACAAACCCATACAGCACCATGTAACTCAACACACAAGCAGGGCGGAGGAGTCCCAAACACACCCCACGCCCCCGTCACTTATCCTGAGTGGTCTGCGCTGCCAGCAACAACCAGCTGGAAAGCCAGCTCCGCGTCAAGCTGCACCTGGTACTGTTCCACCCTTCTCTCCCAAAAGTCTCTGGCAACCTGAAGTCTCGGCACCTCCTTTTCTCCCTCCGTGACATGGCAATCCCGCCTTCCCGTCATTGGCGTGCTCTCAGCGTGCTGAATGTAAATGATCTCCCACTTCATATTTTCCCTCAGCGCCTCCCAGCCCTTGAAGTTGCACGTCATGTACTTCGGAAACGCAGCCACCTTACCGGCAGTGGTGTGGTGGGTGTTGTGTTTTGTCACCTGCAGCCCGATGAACGTCACTTCTTTCTCCGCACCGCTGTGCCCATCGGCGCCAGCATTTCGGGACCGCCCAGATTTATTTATTTTTTCTTGGCAGTTTCCGTTGGTTGCACCCCGACCACGTAGAACGCGTCCAGCACGGGGAAAAAACACTTGTTGGGCATATACAGAACGCCGGCTTGAAGTTCAGTCTGGATTATTACCCTTCTATTATCTCCACCTGCCATGCACCCAACCACGCAGGGTTCCCTTGGAAAGCGGCCCACCGCGTGCCCGTCCGCCAACACGCTGGCCCGCGTTACTCCCTCGCTGCGGGAAAGGTGCTTCATCTTGCGAGCAACCGCTTCAGCGACGTCGCTAATCAGAAACGCCACGCAGCCCAAGCACTCAATATCATCAGCAGCAGACCTACTCCACGTTCCCACAACAGACAGCAGGTGAGACATTTTAAAGTTCTCCATTAGCACCTGCCTCCGCAATGTTCTTTTTGACTTCAACTGAAACGGGAAAATTCATGCAGCTTTCCGCGTCCTCTCCATTCCCCGCATTGGGCCTCACCACCACCGACGCATCCCTCACCACACGCAGCACCTTGATCAGCTTGTCCGCGATCCGGTCCTCGCCCCACTCAGCCTTGCCAAACAAAAGCCTTGCGCAGTGCTCCCAGCATATGTCAGACGTGTTGGACAGCGCCCAGTCAATTGCGGCACAGCGCCCTGAGTAATGGTCCTCGTCAAAAACGTAGCGAGGGAGCGGTCCAACCACACAAATACGGTCCTTCATCCTCTGCCACCTCTCCTCAAGCTCTGCTCTTCCTTCGCGGCTTCCCTGTGAGCCACGCAGCAAATCACGCTCCTGCCACGCAAAGAACGCCTTCATCTCTCGTGCATCGTAGCCGTTCACAAAAATGTTAAACACATTACGTTGTTTCTTCCACCCCTCATAGTTACGTGCGTCAGGCGTAGTCAACACGATTCCGCCCCACCGTCGACGAGGCAGCCCCGCCACAACTCGATGGTCCTTAGTCACATCAAAAATATAGTAACCCCCTACGTTAGCCCTTTCTAACTCTTTGATGGCCCACAAACCTTCACTGGTGTTTTTATATTTCACTGCTGTCCCTGCCATTTCTCCCGTTTTGTGGAAAAGGCACACTGACCCTTCTACAAAGTAGGCCACCACCGGGACCCTCACGGCGTCGTAGTGCAGGGGCTCGTGCAGCAGAAAGGACCCCACCGCCAGCGACTTGCCAATGCCCGCTGTTCCAACCACAACGTACGATTGCCTTATGTCAGTACAAATATCAGCAGGGGTCCAGTTGTTGATGCTTCGCTTAATGACATTCCACGCACGCACCACCTCCCTGCGCACAAATACTTCCTCGTAATCTGGCAAAAAAAAATTGTACGGCCACCCAATCGCAGATCTAAGCACAAAACACTCCAGCCACACACCACGGGTCTCCTCTTCGTCATCAATCTGATCGAAACGAGGTGTGACGTCCGCCTCACCCTCACTCTCACTCCACAATATCTGAGGCCTGCTGGAAGCGGCGCCCACCAACCTCATCCCAAGCGGCTCCGCAAAGTGGCCCGACTCCACGTAAGCCCTACGTTGCATTCAACACCGACCGGTAAACCCTCTCATCCAAAATCACAGTTGCAGCGATTGCCCGCCTTATTTCTTCCTCCTCTACCCGTTTAAGAGCTGCTTCGAGTCTTCCTTTTGTACGATATGGAACCGTATCCTTCTGTCCAAATTCCTTCCATTGATTGATAAAAAACACATCTTGCTCTGCAAGCCCTCGTGCATCTTCAAAAAGCTGATACCCTGGTGGAATCGAGGATTTCCCCTCACGACGCCTACTGCTCTGTAACGTACCTGTCTGGCCCACGCACAAACACCTCCATTGACACATTTTGGTCTTCACCCACCGCTCTGTTGGGGCCAACGTACTGCCAAAGGAAGTCGTTCAGAAAAATTATATTGATTTGGCCAACCCGCACATTACGGGCATCCTCGATAGAGCCTGCAAGCGTCCACCATGGCCGCTACGGTGCTCCTTCCACCCTTCGGCGCTGCGCGGGGGTCTCCTCGGTGGCGTGAGATTCTCCCTCGCGTCTCTCAGACATGTTTTCCTTCGTAGTGGTTAACTTGAGCTGAACTGCAGCACAATACTCAACCAGCAGTCAAAAGGGAGAATAAAATTATTTAAAAAAAAACAGGCAGAGACACGACTCCACGCAGCCGCAACAACAAAAAAGAGAGAGGGCCACCCACACACGGCACGCGGCGCACACCTCACACACAAACACGCACAGGCACCCCCAATCCCGCACACAACGCAAGCGTGATGCATCACGGCACCCTCCCACACAAACAACGAGGGCAAATTAGATCTCCCTAGGCAAATCGTGCAAATTGCACGGCACACACAACAACTGCAACGAGGCTTCTATCTTCTTCTCGTATTGCACTTGACATTCGGATCCCCACAGCTCTGTGTGTGCGTAGTCACACGCAAATATCACCCACTCACAGTGAAATTGACTGCCTCGTCGCGGTGGCATTTTGCGCTGCAAATCGCTGAGGTGCGAAGGAGCAGAGCACCCGCCGCCTGTTCGTTCACCCGCAAGAAGGAGGAGGGACCCTGCCGCATTGTCCCCCACGACGCAAATATACGCTGCGCCCAGCACGTGGTGCGGTGCACGTGAATTCCGCGAGGGAACTGTTTGCCACACGACTAGGCCGCACGGGGCGCAGCCTGCGAAGGCAGCCGCAGACGTCTCCGCCAGCACCAACTACGAAGGAATCATCCACGTGCCCTGCGGTATATGAATGCACAGTGGGCAGTGTGGCCGTGTGTGTGTGTGTGTGCCTGCAGCTACGCAACGCAAAGAGGGAGAAGAGCAAAGCATCAGAGAGGGCACACGCAGAAACACACACGCAGCAGAGACGCGGGACGGAAAGGCGGCGAAAGAAGTCACAGCTGAGGCTGGAGGTGGCGCCGCAGCCCAAGCGGCAGCCACGGAAAATATAACGAAAAGACAAAAAAAGAAAAAAG